AGACTCCATGTTTGGAACAGAGAGTGTCTTGGATGAGAGAAGAGTGTTCTGACACAGCAGTAACATACCGACTTCCACCTCCTCTCAGAAAGTAGCAAGCAAAAGAAATACAAAGTGGGCAGGACATACGCTAGACAAGACTCCTTCACTTCCTATTACCAGAGTGACATCCTTGCACTTTCTTTTCAGGTTGAGTTTTAGATTCCAGAATGAGTACCCTCTGCCTTACAAACAACTACAGAAACCAAGGGAACATGCCACACCTGGAAGTATTCAATGCAGCATGCAGCTGACTTGGGCAGGGATGCTTTTTCTGTGGAAAAACTACAATGTGTTGAAATGAAAAGCTTTTTTCCAGAGAAGTAATATTTTTCCAGCTCTTCAATTCCATTTGAATTTTATTGTTTTGAAATTGTCAGAATATCTCATCTGCACTTTTTAAGAGACAATGGTTCAGAAAGACTTTTTAAAAAATGCTTATTTAGTTTTAAAACTAAAAGCCCAAATGTGAAATTAAATGCTTCACCATTATCAACATGTAAATTAACATAATTCAAAAGGTTTGCAAGTCACAAACCAGTTTAAGATTCTCATTATTTTATTTGAATGTGAAAAAAAATTCAGAAATTCTTGCAGGATGAAAAAACATGCTTCTCTCTCCACTCTCGCATTTGGTGACTCTCTCGTATAATGTACAGTCTTGGCTGTCCAATGCATTCTGCTGCTGCTAACAGGCTCTGAGGGGTAACCACAAAGCAGTGGCAGAGCTCTTCTACAAGCAATGTTGCGGAGTCTGGAACAAGAGCGTTACAACGCAGAGAGCAAAGCTAGAAGAGTTTCAACAGGGGCTTGGGAGGAGGAGTTTAGAGAAGGGTCCAGGAGGTATTTCAGTGAGGCTGGGAAGCAGGGCGGTGGTGTTAGAAGTATACAGCTACTTTACCATAGGACTGTAGTTGGGGGTTAAAAATAGCCCTGGACCATCTTATATCCTATAGTAAGGGAATCATTGCCTACAAATGAAGGGATTTGAAGCAAGCTTTCGTCCAGGATGTGAAGAATGAGGCTCCTATTGGAAGGGAACCTTAGGCCTCATTAATGGGGTGAGATTGTGGCCAAAATTTGAATTTCTGTATACGGTGACTTTCTATATTCCAAAGTAGTATGTAATTCTGTATTCCAATAGTAATATGTATATTAATAGTGATGTTTTACAATCAGACTTGCAGTGCCCTTCCACCTCAGGTTTAAGATTGTCTTGGAAGGGAGCAAGATCTGAACTGCACTGGGATTATTTCTCTGAATCCCCTTAAAGTTCAGAGATTCCCTCCCTGTACAGACTGCAGCTGAATTCTCCTTAGTGAGAGCTTTCCTTGGGTGAGGGCTTTCTTTACAGGAACAGGAGAAAAACATGGTAAGTAGGTACTGAAGTGAGGTCATGATGTAATAGGACTTACATAAAATATCATGAAGGGGAAAGTAGTCTTGCTACGCCTCTTGCAGTCAGTGCTTCTTTTCAGACCTCAGAAAACTGGGGGCTTGCTGCTGAGCTTGCACACAAACCTAACATGGTAGTCCCAGGTAACGTTTGTTATCTTTGCTTCCACTTTCTTTCCTGGGAGTTGTCTTTCCTGCCTGCTTATTAAACAACACCATGTCATATGACAAAATGAAAAGAAAAAAATATATAAAACTAAACAAGTTGTATAGTAGCTGGTTCAAATCCTTGGGCAACGATTAATAAATCAAGAAAAAAAAGATGTAATTGAAAGTAGCTGTGCTACGCACCTGGATCAGTCAACTTACTGACTGCAGTTAGCTTTGTCTTTTTTGCACTGCTTTACATTGCTACTAGCAGTGTTTCAGTGAAAGGCACTGTTGTATGTGCATCCAGTGTGTGGTAAACTGTGCTAGGTAATCCTGTGGTCTCTGCTAGGTATTCATAAACTAAGCTGTTAGTACTGTCTGAACAATGAAGCTGCCTTTGGTGGTTTGTTCACGTCGGCTTGTATTAATGGAACATCTTTCATACCTCTGGTGTCCAGGGAGTAGTTTACAGGAAATTGGCTCACCAAGCCTAGATATAACAAACGTCAGCTTCAAATTCCCCGGCAACTAATTGAAAAGAAAATAAAACATTTTAACTAACCAAGAATACCTATCTACTTTTAAGGAAGTCATATCATATAAGCAGAAGCTCTTGAAGTGCAATTATGAAACAGTACCTCTAGGATAAGGCATTGGTCTAAATGAATGAACACAAATTTCTCTCACTTTACTCTGCATAAATGTGTGCCCAGATGAACGCCCATCTCTTCATTCGCCTGCATTCCCAGAGGGCTCCATGTTCAGCCCATTCCTTAGTAACCTGGAAACCCAATCGCGTGTTTGCAGACCGACATTCTTCCACGATGCAAAAAATGCTACAGCTGTCCCTGACCACCCTCACGTTTAACACCTACCTACTGCTGTTGCCATCTGGTACTGAGAAGCGGAGACCTTCCCCCTGCGGAGAGCAGGATGCCACCGCCTGTGACCTCACGGCTCCAGGGCCGCGCAGTTGCGCCGATGCCGCGGCGAGACCCCGCGCCAGCGCCCCCGGGCAAGAGCTCACGTCAGCTCGGGCTTCGTGCCGGCCATGGCTCCTTCCAGCATTCATGCGTTCCAGGTGCTCGGTTTTACACCTATAGGAGGAAATACGATCCTTAGTGGTTAGGCATTAAATGCGTTTGTTTGCCGAGCGATGCGGAATGCCTCCCTGTAATTAAACTCAGTGGGCTGACTGGCAGTCTTTCCTACCAAGTCCTTAATTCCTCAGGGTGGAAGATCATAACACGGGTCTGGAAGCTGCCTGCCTTGGCATTTAATTTCAGAAATAACCATTTTATTTATTTCTTGAGGTGACGGTTTTGGTCCGGTACGCCACCCAGGTTCGCCCTGACTGTCCGAGGCTTACAGAGCTTCCTCCCACCGCTCTTGCAGACAACGGGCC